TGGTGGTGGTGGTGGTGGTGGTGGTGATGGTGGTGGTGGTGGTGGTGGTGATGGTGGTGGTGATGGTGGTGATGGCTACGATGATTATAATGGTGGTGATGATGGTGATAGCTACTGTTTATTAATCAATTACTATGTGCTAACCTCTACGCTAAGGCCTTCATATCTATGACCTCATTTATCCTCACAGATGCGTTATGCAGTGGGTACTATTACTGTCTTCGTTCTATAGCACAGGAAGCTGAGGCACAAAAGGTAAAGGACGTTTCAAGCTGTCGCACAGACAGTCGAGCCCTGAGTTCTGATCCCTGCCTGCAAAGAGGCTCCTGGAAAGCTTCTGTGGGCTCAATGCATGGTGAGAAAGTTCCAGAGATTTCAATGGCAGGTTTTCTGGCAGCTGCCTTGGGCACATATTTCGGTGCTTATGTGAAAATCAGTGGTGATGATGTGGACTTACAGGAAGAATTCAAACTGCTTTGCTACCAGCTGTGCCAAGAGTTGCTGGCTGGACCGTCCAGAGCCAGGAACAGCTGGTGAGCGAGCATGAGTGGGGCGGCTCTGAGCGGGGCGGCTGGTGAGCGGGCATGAGTGGGGCAGCTTGCCTCCTGGGCTCCTGCTCACGGAAGCCTCTAGAAGTGACCCAACCTCACCCCAAGTAAACACCCAGGAAAAGCACCTGGGGCCTCCATCTGCTCTGAGAAGACAGCACGAGGTCATGAAAGAGAAACCTGCTAGCTCAGCAAGAAATATTCCTTCTGCTCAGGGGAAGGGGGAGACAAAACGCTGTTGTCCAGTGCAGTTGACACCCACAGGGAGTATGGGAACCAAATCCTTTAGAATGTTGATGTCTGGGCTGCTGGTCCTATTACGTGTTTAGCCTCAAGCTAAAAAGGCAACAAAAGGTGGGGCATTTCAGATGGAGGGCTCACATTCCCTGATCTCAAATTCCGAGGAGGGACCTCAAGGGAATGAGCAGGGACGACCTGGGGCCACCCCCTAAGTCGGCAACAGGTCCTCAAAGCCAAGGGGATGGAGGGCCTTCCGCAGGTGCCAACAGCCACCTTCCCATGAGGTCACCTGCAGCAGAACAAGGCTCTGCCAGAGAGGAGGCCTCTGGGAGCCCCCGAGGGTGCTGGGCTGAAAGACAAGGGCCGCAGAGACCCTTCTGGAAGCAGAGGGTCTCCTGGCACCATGTGTCTGCAAATAGCTGCCAAAGCCCTGCAGAGATTAGCAGAAAACATCTACCATGTGTCAGGGGTCAGCTTGGAGCTGAACACTGGAAACCCGCCCAGGTTTCTTTCCAGTCATCAAAGAGGAGAAAATTATGCAGTGGGGCAGGGTCAGAGCAGAGGGCTGGGCGGCTGGGGGTGTGCTGGGAGCCCTGCACATCAGTCAGGCCCCTGGACGAGCTGGTCTGCGGGGTGGACCCGCCCAGCCTACGTCCGCCACAGCCATGTTCCAACAGAGACCTTCATAGAACCCATCCTCATCCATGTCTCCATAGACGTAGAGGTATTTTCCCGCCGTGAGGGGCAGCTCAGCTTCCGGGTTCTCATTGGGTCCATCGAAGGGGTTGTAGCTGCAGGAGAAACACAGTTACTTAGTTAGAGGGTCTGGAAGACACGGCCGCACCCCTGCCCCTCGGAACGTTGGGCAGGCACACAGCTGCTCCCCACTCCTAGGGAATTACCAACCCACGGCACAGTTCAGGGCTGATGAGCGCTCTGTACACGGGAAACGCAGGCTGCTGCCAGCTCACACACACAGACTTAAAGTGCAATTCCAAAACAAAGCTATATGCTCAGAACTCTTTGTATCGGATAACAGGTTTATGATTCTGACATTTTATTCACACTTACCTCTTCTGCCGTAACATAAATCTCCAAATTAACAAGTAAATGTAAAGTAAATCTTTCAATAATTTAGCAAAAAGGGAATCACATATACTATTTAGCAATCTGCTTATTCTCTGACCTTGCAAGATAGCATTCTATACTTCTACCTCATGAAATATTTGTATCAGATTCTTTTTCATGGCTGTAGAGTATTCCACTGAACATGTTATCCTTTCTCTAACCCGCTTCCTAACATGGTGTGGATGTTTCTTCTCACTTCTGACAGAGTGTTGCAGTATATATTCTTATAGACATGTTTTTGTGCACTTCCACGATTTCTTACTAACGACAAATCCTAGGAAATGTATCTGTTTGGTCAAAGACATCTATATCTACATTTTTAAGGTCTTGGGGGTGGACAGTCAAAATCTCAGAAAAACAGATGCATGATTTTACCCTCCCCCGCCCCACTCGCAGGAAGGTAAGAGCGTCCATATTCTCCAGTCCTCAACATACTGGGATTAAGAATTTTCAAAGCCGTGTCCAACTTGGAAAATCAAACACATGAAACAAATTCAGAAGAATTGGGGCTTTTCTAAATAAAAGGCAAATTAACTTAACAGTGAAGAACTCATTAAAAAATGAAAACAACATTCTTTTTTTTTTTTTTTTTTTTGAGACAGAGTTTCACTCTTGTTACCCAGGCTGGAGTGCAATGGCACGATCTCAGCTCACTGCAACCTCCGTCTCCTGGGTTCAGGCAATTCTCCTGCCTCAGCCTCCTGAGTAGCTGGGATTACAGGCACACACCACCATGCCCAGCTGAATTTTTTGTATTTTTAGTAGAGATGGGGTTTCACCATGTTGACCAGGATGGTCTCGATCTCTTGACCTCGTGATCCACCCGCCTCGGCCTCCCAAAGTGCTGGGATTACAGGCGTGAGCCACCGCGCCCGGCCAAAACAACATTCTTGATAGTTGGGGAGGATAGCCAGGCACTGTAATATTATAATTACGATATAAAAATGATTCACACATCAGTGGCGCTGTGCAGTTTACCAACACTTTTAAGCACGTTTTATTTGAGGGCCTTTAAATCTTAAGAAAGCAGAGAAGATAACACCCCAATTTCAATGGCTGTGTGAGGTCATGCAACATGCCCAAAGTCACAAGCTGATGAAGTGGGTGGGGTGGGGGGTACCAGAGCTGAGACCTCCTGACCCATCCCACGCAGTTTTAACCACACCACGTCACATGGCCCCTCACAGTCAGAGTGCAGAGGTCTAGGAACCCAATCTAAGTGCCTGACGGCACCCAGCAAGTCAGCCCAGAGGGCTGTGCACCAGGAACAGACATGGGGCAACCCCTAACGCAACGCTCCGGGGCGCAACAGGACAGGACCTTCTGGAAGGAGGAATAGCGTGTGCCAAGGCCCAGAGGCAGGGAGGAGAGAGATGAGGTTGGCAGGGGCCAGGGTGGTTTCAACACGATCTCACGAGCTCTGGAAAGTACTGAAAGGGCTTCAAGCCAAGGAGTGACATGGTCGTGTTAGCATTTTACAAAGAGGCCTCTTGAGTGCTGTGTGGATGCGGCTTGGTGCAGGAGCTTCAGCAAAGGAATGTGGTCAGGGAGCGACTTAGGCGGCTGTGGAAATGCAGTTTGCCTGGATGCAGGGCTAAGGGGGCGAGGTACAGGAGGACTTGCAGCTTTCTGGCCTCAGGGTGAGCAGGAGGGGATACAGGTCACCGAGCGGGGCTCTGCAGGGGTTCTGCTGGGGGGTCTGGATGTGTCGACAGCTGAGACACAGAAGCTGGAGGAGGAGGAGGGAGGGAGTGGGAAGACCAGGAGCCCCCAGGCTACACCTTCAGGAGCACCCACACCTGATGCTCAGGAAGAGATGCTTCTGCAGGGGAGCAGGTGGGGAAGATGCACCCTGAGAGACGGAGAGGGAGGCCGCGCCCCGAGAGACGGAGAGGGAGGCCGCGCCCTGAGAGACGGAGAGGGAGGCCGCGGAGGCCAAGAGGGTGGAAGGTCCCCGGCTGCTGAGGGCACAGATAAAAATTGGGAGATCCTACGAGAGAATATGACGCTGATGTGACAACCTCGTGGGTGCTCCTGCATGTGGACCCTGGATATCATGAAACCTTGTGGGTGCTCAGGGCAGAAGCCGCCACATGCTGTGTGATGTGCATGCAGCCATGGGACACGTCTGGAGCGGGGACTCGACAGAGACAGAGGTGGGTCAGGGGTCCACTCAGGACTAGAGGCGGGGGAGGAGGGACGGGTGATCACGGGAGCGGGCACTCCACAGAGATGGAGGTGGGAGGTGGGTCAGGGGTCCCTCAGCACGGGAGGTGGGGGAGGAGGGACAGATGATCACTGACGGAAATGGCTTCTGGGGGGCGATGGGAGCCTCTGGCACGTGGCCGTGGCATCTGTGAGCACAGCGGCAGGCCCAGGCTGCTCACTGCAAACGGGTGAACTGTGTGGCAAGGACCCTCTCTCCACACAGCTGGCAAAGGAAGGGTGGTGGTGAATGTGCCAACCTCGCCCTGGACCTCAGGTGGGAGGGCCCCAGGAGCCCTCAGCAAGGCTATCCCTGCAGCAGAGGCTGCAACAGATGGAAGGGAGGACATGTGGACACCAAGGCAGCCCTGCATGGAGGGCGGGGAGAGGCTGCCTCGGCACCCAGTGAGCACCCAGGTGAGCAAGAGGCTTTTGGCCCGCAGAAACGTCTAAGCAAGTTGCTGAATGATGGTAGCATGAAGGGACACTGATTAGACCCAGGGCAGAAAACACAACCCCCCTCCTCCCGCCAAGGCCACCTCTCAGGGGCTCTAACGGCCTCTGGAGAACTCGGAACCAGTTCCCTTGGGGACCGCCACTACGTGCTCCTCACAATCTGACTTGGATTGGTTTTGGGGAAAGTGGGTGTTAAAAACAAAAAAGAAAAAGGCATAAAACGATCACCAGTAAAATAGGAATATCACTGAAAAAGAGAGATAAGGAGAATGTGCGTGGGTCATGGCTCGTGGTGGCCCTGTGCTGGCACTGAGGGCCGAGTGAATGGCAGCACCTGGGCCTGCTCCACACACAGCAAGGACGGGACGGAGGGAGCCAGGCGTGGGACTGTGTCTTCATCCGGCCCCGCCAACTGTGCCGTGTGCGTCTGCATGCAACTGCCTCTCCCTGCTGTGTGACTTGGTCCTCCAGCACTGTGACAGATGAGCGGACGGTGGGCGTGCCAACTGCAGGCAGCCGGCACTCCTGTTTGCCTGGGCTGGATTCTAACTGGGGAGCCCACAGCCCAGGGGCAGACACCCAGTGCTTCTGCTACCTGAACCTCGGAAACAGGTTTGTGTTGGTGAAACTCGTGTCGTACCAACGAGCAGAAAGTGACCCGTGGTTATTGGAAATGGCACTCACTGGAGAAAGCAAAGGTATTCGAGGTGGACGGATTGGCTGAAGTCAAGAGTCACCCCCTCTGCAGGAACAAAGCTTAAGGATCTAGTGAGGGTGGCATATAAGCCGAAGCTTGGTCCCTAAACAGACTGCAGAGACCCAGTTAAGGGACTCTGGCTGCCCAATGCCAGCTAAAGGGCAGGGGTATTTGCCTCTGAAGTACCGTCAGATCGGCCTCGGGCCAATCCCACACTCAGAGCTGTTGCAGCATCTGCGAGACAGAAGGCCTGGTCTTCGTGAGGGCAAAGAAATGGGGGTGGACGGCGGTGTCTTGGGCCTGCTGCCTCTGGCTGATGAACTCCTAAGTGTCCACCTGTGGGCACAGCTGGCTGCAGCTTGCTTTCCTGATGGTCAGGGAGTGCAGTCCTGGGGCCGCTCATCCTCACCCATGTCTGCCTTTGCGGAGGCTCCATGGAGGACCTGAGATGTGTGTGGGACAAAACTGGTTCCTGTTATTTCTCAGTGAGCTCGGACGCTGAAGGCCCCGGTGGGGAAGCCCACACAGTGGCTGTCATGCAGCGAGATGCAGCCTGCAGCACCGGGAGAAGGTGAGGGTGTGGGAGAGCCGGCGCTGGACACATGCCCCTTTCAGTCTCAGCGGCGGGAGTGCAGGGCGCTGGACATGTCCCCTCTTTCGCTCTCAGTAGTAGGAAATCAGGGCTCTGGACACGTCCCTTCTTTTACTGTTAGTAGTGGGAAATCAGGGCGCTGGACACATGCCCCTCTTTCACTCTCGGTGGCTGCCTGTGTGGGTTGAACCCTGTCCCCTGGAAAGACGCATTCGTGGCCAAACCCCTGCACCTGTGAATGGGACGATATGTGGAAACAGCCTTTGCGAACACGATGGAGTTAGGACAGACCTCACTGCAGTGGGGCAGACTCCAATCCGGGCACGTGTATCCTTACAGGAAGAAGGGGGAATGCACGGGACAGGGAGGTGCCAGGGCAGGGAACGGAGGCGCCAGGGCAGGGGACGGAGGCAGGGACTGCAGCCGTGCAGCTGTAAGCCAGGCCCGCCCGGGCTCCGGCAGCCAGAAGAGGCAGCAAGGACCCCTCCTCGGAGCCCTCAGGAGCGAGGCCCCGCCAACACCTCCATCTCAGACTTCTGCCTCCGGGGTCACGAGAGGAGAAATCTTGTAGTTTTAGGCTCGTGATCTGCTGTCACGGCAGCCGGGGAGGTGTGTGTGCCACCCAGACTCTGTCTACCAAACTCTGCTTGGCCTCCAGGCCAGGCTAAAATCCCACCTTCTCTTCAGTCCTGGGAGAAGGGTCCTTCTCATACCCCAGAATGTTCCCAGGCCCAACCCCTTATCTGCCCGAAAGCATCCATGCTCCAGGGGGTCAGGGGCACAGAGGGCCACGCTTACCTGTAGCGGGCGACACAGAGGTGGACCTTCCCCGAGTATCTCTGCTTTGAGGTATTAGAATTCTGTTCATTCTCCATCTGTGAAGGATACAATGGTTGTGAGGGCTACTGAAGCTAGAGGCATCCCACCCCTGCCCACGGCACATGGGAAAGCCCCTCACAGCTTCCCAGATCCTGGGAGGGACAGCTGGAGACTGTGGCACCCCCAGGAGGCACTGCCATCCCACACCCCCACATATGGGCCCAGAGAGGAAGGTGGTCCCTCGGTGCGGACCTCTTAGTCACACAGGCCCCCTCTGTGTTCATAGAGAACCCAGTCCCCAAACAGCAAGCTAAGGCGTGAAGGCAGGGCCTCTCCCCAGCAGAATTCAGGGTGTGAGACACTTGGGGTGGCAGGCAGGCCCTGTGGGGTCTGTGGGAGACATGAGGCTGCTGCGGCTCTGGGCACATGGCCTCCAGGGCTCAGTCTGCGGAGGAGGCCCCCCTCCCCATCTGACATGCCCAGTGCCAGCCCCCATCCTCTCTTCCTGCTGTCTGGGGTTTGTGGAGTGTGGGGACCCTGCCGTGCGTTTCCGACAGTGACCCTGGGAGTCAGCGGGTGTGAGCTTTTCTCACGGGGGGGGGTGAACCCGAGCAGGATGTGCACAACGCCCCCCCGCACCCCGTGATTCCACTGTCACTCCCCCAGAGCATTCCCCACACAGGCTGGAGCAGCCTTTCAGCAGAAATTAGGCCATGCCACTCCCTGCCTTAATGGCTTCCAATGGCTTCACCTTGGACTTGGACAAAAAGCCAAGTGCTGTTCTCTGCCCTACCCCCTCTCCAGCCATACCAGCCCCTTCCTATCAAAGTGCCCAGGGCCCCCTGCCCCCCACAGGCCCCTCCTGGCCCTCTCTGCATCAATGGCCCCGGATGGGATTCGCTTTTCTCAGCGCTGCCTTGCCAGTGTTCCCTCACTAGAGCAGGGACGTCACCTGTGTTCACAGCAGGGCCCCCACGTCCCACACACAGGCCAGGGAATTAACAGGGGCGAAGGGAAGAACCAGCCAGGAGGAAGAGAGGGAGGAGGGCGGGGAAGGAAAAACGGACAGACTGGCCAGTGTCCACCCCTGACGCCCCGGCGCGGGCGGGGGGCACTCACATCGGACTCAGATCTGCATCTTGGGCTACCGGACCTCAACAGGAAGGTGGGCTTGGCAGACAGAGGCTCCGGCCTGTCACGGGGCTGCGGAAGAGGCCAGATATATTCACGGGTTGCAGAGCTGCTTCCGATCGCACTCTCCTGACCTGGCCACGAACATCAAAAACAAGTTGAAAAAAAATAAGTAATATGGTAAAAGTGCATTGGTCATTTGCCTCCCCAGGTGCCTTTCCCCTCTTTGACATCAGCTGCTGAGATTCATTTTGGGGTCCACCCATCTCCTGCTCCCCATCAACACAGGCTGGTGTGACCCCACCCTCAGCTCTGGGCCCGTCCAGTGGGCAGAGTCACCCTGGCTGTAATGCGTGTTTGGGGGCACGGGACGAGGACGGGCAGAGGGAACTGAAGGAGAGCTGACGGCAAAGAGGCTGCTCCTTTCCTCAGCTTAAAATTGAGCGGCCGCAGACCTCCTGCACCTGGAAGAGGAGCGCTCACTGCAGGATGGCGCCTGCCCACAGCGAGACGGAACGAAGCCGGATCCTTCTGAGGGGCTTGGAGCCCCTGGTTCGAGATGTACCTGAGGGCGTCTCCTGGCTCTTCATCTGCTCCAGAGGACAGACTGACTCCTTTTTGCTCACAGCAGTCTAGGTTGGCTTTGCTGTCACTGATGACCCGGTGAGTCCTAACTGGCCAAAGGGGTGGGTTTGTGGCCAAAAAATACTCTTGACAAGAGATGTGCAAGGACTGAAGTGGTTCTTGTCCCATCCTGTCCCATCCCCCTGCATCCTCAAGGGGCAGCTGAGCCCTGTCCTGCCGCCTGGAAGGGAGCGGTGAGCGCCGTGACTGACCCTGGCCTGCGTGTCAGGCGACCTTTCACCAGGCTCCAGGTGTGAGCATGACGGGCTGCTTCCTTCCCAGGCTCCGTGCCACTGGGGATGAGGATGCCGCCTCCTGGGGACCCCTGGCCTCTGTGGCCGTCACATCTTGACAGTCACCTCACTGATGAATATAAATTGCCGAGTCCAAATTGGGAAGTTAAAATGATTCAAAAAACCATGAAGAGTATTTCAATAACGGTTGCCCTAGGAGTCCCCCCTTGCAGGCCCCACAGCACCAGGCTAAAGGAGTGACGGGCAGGACATCTGGGCAGCCCTGCCACGGGGCCCCTGTGAGAGCATCGAATCCTGGAGGGCAGGACCCTGTTTTCTTCACTGTAACGTGGCGTGGCGTGGCGTGGCGTGTCATAGGTGCAAAGTGAGTATCGAACGATTCTGCTCCCAGAAGCCTCCGAAACCCGGCCGAGAGCAGGCCTGCTGCAGGGCTCCCCCCTCCACCACTGCTGCCTCTCCTCTGCTCCGCAAGTGACACCTTGTGAACCTGGAGGGGAGTGGCAGGCTCCACTTGTGGGCAAAATCCACTGTTCCTCCCCACACAGTGGCCAGGACACTTTCCAGACAGGAAACACTGTCCTCGGGCATTCCGAGGCTGGGGGCTGCTTGTCACCGCAGCAGAACTTGGCCCTTCCTGCCCGCGCAGCTGCTGCCGTGAACTACATGGGACAACAGAGCTGACGACGGTGACGTGAAGACAGCAGTCACCTCGTATGCACGCTGAACTTGTACCAACCCAACTCTCTAGAGAAAACGAATGTAATCCCATGGCAGCTTTTACCCGCCGTTGTCCTGAGAAGAGAGCGTGAGCTGAAACAAAACGTGCAGTGCCTTCAGGCGGGGTTGGTGCCCACCGGGCCCTGAGGATGCAAACGCCGCACTCTCACGACGGTAATGCTTCAAAATAGGTGTTTTCTAGAAAAATATGGCTAATTCCAAATCAATGGTGTCTGGTGTTTAACTCAAAAAAACCCATCTCTCATACTGGAAGAAAAACTGGCTGTGCTGGGGGCAGGCGGGGACAGGAGACCACACCCCTCCCCAGCACGCTCCCTTCCTAGAGCTTCCCAGGGACCGTTGCATGTGCAACGCTGGCCTCACATGCTGACTCCACAGCCTCCGCCTATGCCTGAGGTGCCTCCCCATACAGAACCCGAGCCCCTTCATGGCCCACGCCAGCCTCTGGCCAGCACCAGCCACCGGCCAGAGGGGCCCTGGGTGAAGGCACAGGTAAGTGACGGCACGTCTGCCTGGGATCCTTCTCTATCTGGTGACCAGCACCCGCTCTCTCAGATCAGCGTGGGGGGAAGATCTGTGGCGATGAACAGATGAAAATACGGATATGAACACGATGGGACGTCATCTGGCCTTAGGAAAGAAGGACACCCTGACCTAATGACAGCATGATAGACCTGAGGACTCTAGGCTAAGTGAAGTAAAGTAATCCAGGCACAGAGAGGCACGGGGCACGGGTGGCCCCACTCACATGCGAAACCTCCACAAGCCCAACTCGCTGAAGCAGGGAGCAGAACAGTGGTTAGCAGGGGCTGGGTGGCACTGCTGGCTCAAGGCACAGGACGTGCAGGCTCTGGGGAGCTCCTGCACAGAAACGGGAATGCAGCTAGAATACTAGATTGTAGGCCAGCGCGTGGCTCACGCCAGTAATCCCAGCACTTTGGGAGGCCGAGGCAGGTGCATCACCTGAGGTCAGGAGTTCAAGACCAGCCTGGCCAACATGGTGAAACCCCGTCTCTACTAAAAATACAAAAATTAGCCAGGTGTGGTGGTGCACACCTGTAATCCCAGCTACTCGGGAGGCTGAGGCAGGAGAATGGCTTGAACCCAGGAGATGGAGGTTGCAGTGAGCAGAGATCGCATCATTGCACTCCAGCCTGGGTGACAGAGTGAGACTCCAACTGGAAAAAAAAAAAAAAAAGAATGCTGGAGTGTAGACTTGAAATTTGTCAAGGAGGCAGATCTTAAGGGTTTCCACCACGAAAAGTAAAGGTAACCATGTGAGGAGGTGCGTGGGAGGCGGACATGTCAATGAGCTTGGCTGTGATGATCATTTCACAATTGATCTTATGTTACATCGGATCAAGTCGTGCACCTTAAATATATATGATTTCTAATTATCCACTGTACCTCAAAGTTGGAAAAAATGTACAAAAACAAGTAAACACACTCAGAGAGTGGGGGGGGGGGAAGAATAAAACACCAGGAGACCCTAAGCTGAGGCCTGGAAGAGGGGCCTGCGCCATCTGTAGGGAAGAGTGCTCTCGTGGGGTCCAGGTGGCGCAGGGCAGCTCTCTGAGGCACTGGCCTCTGCTGCCATCAGTGACACGGCACTGTGAGAAGAGTGCCAGGGCAATGCCAGGGGAGATGGGCATGGGCCGTGCTAGGGGACCCCAGTGGGTGAGGAAACGGGGATCAAAGGAGCTGGGTTAATTAGGAGGGTGCATCTTCTGGCCTGTGAGGAAACCCAGGTGGTCCTGGCTAGTGAAGGCATGGTTGGTACCGCTGTGGTGTTTCTGCTTTTACTGAGTGTGCATTTTCCACTGTTGTTCATCGTATTCCTTTTTCCAAACTGTTCCCGTCTCCCTGACCTGGGAGCTTCGCTGGGGGTCCCACATTCACATGCTGTGTGGCCTCGGGCTCACCGGGCAGGCCTGGGACTGCCGCTTTCAGAAGGGCCAGCTTGCAAGGTGGTGACTGGCTGCTGTCAGGAACTCAGCTTCTGAAATATCCCCGACACTGGAAGAAGCTGTCCCCTGATGGAGGCACTCACCAGGCCCAGCTTGTGCACAGTGCACAGCTTAGGCCGAGCACCTGCTTTCCTTCCGTGAGCCTGGGGCTTCAGTGGCTGGGGCACCCGTGCGGGCAGCCCCCAGGAAAAACTCTGGGCCTGAGTGTCAGCGGGTTTCTCAGAGCAGAAGCCTGCTTTTCTTGTTGCATGGTACAGGGCTCTGCGTGGCCCTTGGCAGGACGGAGAGCGTGTGGGGAGTCCGCACGTGAGTTCTGTTTTCCCCAGGGAAGAATTGAAACTGTCTTGTTTTCCTCCGCCCTTCAGCCTTCACAGCTTAAGCGTGGTTTCTCGGCGCTGCCTTCCAGGACCATCCAGAAGAGCCCAGGTCACCGTCCACCTTGTCACCCGGTCGGCTTGCACCATCTGGATCAGAGGCTCCCCGAGTATCATCTGCCTGCCAGCAGGAGCTCTCAATGTCGCAACCTGAGTACGGCATGCAGCCCGGGTGTCCCAAGTGCCTGGAGGTGAGCGACGGAGCGCGTGGACCCTGGCCCTGCCCGCTGGCCTCCCGCAGCCTCGGCCACTCACCCCACCCCATTCTCTCTGATGCGTGGACCAGACAGTAAGGCGTGGGGAGGTGTGGGAAGAGGAGAGAGGCAGGAGAACTTTTTAGCAAAACCAAGTGGCATCTCCTTATTTTAATGATAAAAGCACCCAAGGTACTTATCATATATTCTAATAAGAACTAGGGGAAATTTGCAAATTATCTCTTTTACAGAATTCCACAGTGAGGTTCAGATGTTCATCTCCCTTATTCTTTCTAAACCAACTTCTTAAACAGGCGGGCAGAGCCCAGCATGAAGCCTGTCACCTCTGCATCCCCATCATCCCAGAGGTGCCTGGGCGTGAACTTCCCCCGAGGTCTGGTTAAAGCATACCTGTGATTGTTCTACCTGCGACCAAGACTAAACTCCCTGGCATGCACAGGGGGCTTCTCCTGCCCTGCCTCTGAGCAGGACTGTGACGGCTGAGGGCTGAGGCCTTACGTTCACTGCTGCCTTTGCTGGAACAGAAGTTCTAAGCTCGCCCTAACATCACCGACAGGTTGCAGAGACGAGAAGGAAGGAAAAACAAGCGACACAGAGAAACAAGCTTCACAGAACAATGCGGGTACCCGGCCAAGAAATCCTCGTGGAGTGGTTGCCAGGGTAGACTCTACAGCCAGACTGGGTTCAGATCCTAGACTGAGCCTTCATCAGCGTCTCTATGACCCACCCTAGTGCCTTGGTTTTTCTTACATCTGTAAAATGGGCCCATTTTACAGGTGAGAAAATGTGTGGGCCACACATTTGTGGGTGCCTGTGAGGTGCTGGGTGCACCGTGCATCCAGGGATGTGAGCAGCCCTGTTCTCATCCTACCCACTGTGGTGACAGGTCCCCGTACGCTTCGCCAGCTGTCACCAAACCAACTTCCCTTGTGCACAGCTTCGCAGGCAGCTAACAGCCATTCTTTCCCCACCACAGCAAAGGCGGAGGTCAAGGTGCTTACCTTTGCCGAGGGAGGTGGCTAGGCCATTCATGAACTGCGGGAAAGCCTTGCTGGGGGCCGTGGAGATGTCCAGGGGGGCCACCGCGCTGCCACCCAGCAGGTCAACCTTCCCAGCGTGCTGCCGGAGCTTCTCCAGGTCCCGGGACAGCAGGTGGAACTGCTCACTCTGAGTCCGGCATTTCTCTTCCAGCTCTCGAACCTTGGACTGCACGGCAGAGACAGGACAAGGGTCAGCGGTGGCATTGGGTGATGGAAGTGTGTGGGCGCATGTGTTGCATGTGTGCACAGAGTGTGTGTGTACATGCACACACGTGTCTGTGAAGATGCCTGTCGTGAGTGTGCATGTGCATGTGAGCTCCTACCGTGTGTGCATGTGTCTGTGAGTTACGTGTGCAGCCGGGGCCGCCTCCCACCTCCACGGGAGAGCGGTGCCTATAAAGCCAGCTTCTCGTGCCACCTGGCTGCTGGCCAATGTGAGAAACCACAGGTGCCAAGAAATCCTACAAACACTCAGCTCTCAGCCAACCGGAGATTGTTCTGGGCTAGCGTGCAGCCCGGGCACTTGGCAGTTGGCAGGCTTCGCTGGAGCTGTTTGGAACTTGGCGTATGAGGCTGTGACATGGCGCAGACTCAGGGGAGTGGCTCAGGTGCCGTCCCACCGATTCAGGGATGCCATTTTTCTCATCCAGGGCGCTTGCCCCTGGGACTGCGGAACGCTTAAGAACGCCACTTGAAGGCCAGGCGCGGTGGCTCACGCCTGTAATCCCAGCACTTTGGGAGGCCGAGGCGGGTGGATCACGAGGTCAAGAGATGGAGACCATCCTGGTCAACACGGTGAAACCCCGTCTCTACTAAAAATACAAAAAAAAATTAACTGGGCATGGTGGCGCATGCCTGTAATCCCAGCTACTCAGGAGGCTGAGGCAGGAGAATTGCCTGAACCCAGGAGGCGGAGGTTGCGGTGAGCCGAGATCGCGCCATTGCACTCCAGCCTGGGTAACAAGAGCAAAACTCTGTCCCCCCCCCAAAAAAAAAGAACGCCACTTGAGCAGTGAGGGATCTCTCTGCTACGTTCAGTCAGCAACACTGCTGCGTTTGCAGACAACACGAACACACCTTGGGAGCCCTGGGGAGGGCAAGCACCACCTGGGACACACACAAGAAAGGGGTAGCCCAGCAAAGCTCCTTCCTTGGGGCAGGACGGGCCTGGGTGGGGTCCAGTCTCGGGACATCACTGACCCTGGTGTGCTTCCTCCCAGGTCAGGGGTTCGAGGGCAAAGCCCCGCTCCCTGCTGCCCCGGGACTGGAGCACTACGTGAGACGTGGTCTCCTGAGACGGGTTTCTGGCACCCATCACAGAAGGCGCAGCACAGAGGGGTCTCCGGAGGGCGGGCTCTACCTTCTCACCCCGGCTTCCTTTTTCAACCACGCTGACCGCTCCCCGCACTGCGTTAGCTCCTGGGCTGTCTGTTTCTCGTCTGTGTCCACGACCACACTCCAGGCCCTGGGCTCTGCTTTCTGGGTCATGGACCCAGCACCCAGCAGGTGCTCAGAGAGCGTTTGCTGAGTCAGTGAAAAGAGGTTAGCCCTGAGCTGTGGGTACCACGCCCCTCAGGGGGTGGCTTGTCGGGTCTGCATGCAAGGCTGCTTTCTCGCCACTCCTTACTTTAGGATGGCTGGGAAAGTCCCATTTACAGAATTATTAATGTCATCTGTGGGGCTGACGACACTGACATTTCCCCACTGACACGTCAGCCCCATGAGGGCAGGGCTTTGCCTGCCTGTTTCCTGCTGCGTCCGGGACCTGAGTGAAGGGTTTGGCGAGGGCCCCGGTGCTCCTCCCCCTTTCGCTCCTCCCCCCCTCTTCGTCCATCGCCTCACCCTCCTCTTCGTCCATCGCCTCCCCCTCCTCTTCGTCCATCGCCTCCCCCCCC